AGGGGGGACTAGGGATGGTACTTATCACTCACGTGATGTTCAATTGAAATACCCGCCAGCAGTTTTGACCTGTGAAAGCCGGACAAGATTTTTCTATTTATAGCTCTGGCTGCCATTTTGTGCAGCCCAGCCGAATGTGTGGGCGATATGCACAACTAGGGATGGTACTGATCAGTCCTGTGAAGTTTCACTGAAATCCCCCAGCCGTTTTGGAGATGAATCGCGGACAAAATATTTCTTTTTATAGCTCTGGTGGCCATTTTGTGTAGTGAAAGGAACGTGCACAACTAGGGATGATACTCATCACTCCTTTGAAGATTCACTAAAATAAAATTTATTCCATTGGAAGTGTAGAAGAAATAGTCAAAACAAATTTTACTGAAACAGATGTTACTATTCTTAGCTATGGCCACCATTTTGTGCAGTGGTGCAAAAATGGCCAGCGATATGCACAACTAGGGATGGTACTGATCACTCCTGTGAAGTTTCACTGAAATTCCCCAAAGCGGTTTTGGAAATAAAGCGCAGACAAGATTTTCCTTTTTATAGCTATGGCAGCTATTTTGTGCAACAGAGCAGAACATGCTGACGATATGCACAACTAGGGATGATACTGATCACTCCTGTTAAGTCCCATCTATTTTGGATATAAAGCTTGGACTAGATGTCCAGATGGAGGACAGAAGGACAGACAGTGCAATTAACTACGGTATATGAATTACTATAAGTCACCATTAAGCGGCATGCTATCAACAATTGCCGCACCCTAGCTGGGGGTCATGCCCATCTTTTTTTTATTTCTAAAATCAAACACATTTAGAGTGTAACCATACTTCTCTCTAACTTTTCTCTCGTATAATAACTTAAAGAGGAGAATTATCACCGTGCCCAATGTATGATAAAATTCCAAGTTGTATTTACTAGATTACTGTATATAGATATTTGAAGCATAATAAAGATTTCCATAATAAAATCAACGAGTAAATGCTTGTATTTCCTCATCATCATCATACAATATATCAATCTATATGACATTCATTTACCTTTTTTATTAATTCATAACATGTACATTAAAATTGATTATAATAAAATGTATTCAAGTTGATCAATATCTTGCTCATGTTTTAGTTAAGATAAAATGCACCTGCTGTATTGACTGCATCAGAATTGTCAGTTATGTGTTTTGTCAAATCATTGAACCAATATCCCACCCGCATGTTCATGGTCTAAGGTATATCTTCTTTCTATAACACTGTGCCTGGGTGGTTAAAGTAACTGACTTTAAATCACTAGCCTGTCACCTCTGTAGGTTTTAAATGCTGCTACATATGGTATATTGAATTGTGTTATCAAGGAAGTTTAATAATCCAGCACCCAGGGTTCTACTTTTTCCCAGGTTATGCCTGTTATAATGCTTAGAGACAAAGTAAAGGATCAGAGGACTTCCTCTACCAGTGCAGCTGGGAAGTCATCACACATTCCATAACATGTTGCTGTTTACATGATCATAGAAGACAGGACATAACTTATTTTCCTTGATACGATAATGAGCTGAATGCATGCCATATAACATGCATTAAGATTAAATAAACAATATGATAAACATAAACCAAAAAAGGTAAACATATGGGCATCTTACCTGACGTTTTAACTAACGCCCAGTCAAAACCCGTAAATCTTGATCACATAACTTCAATATTGTGATTTAACACCTCAAATAATTTTAAATTAATTATATTTACTAAATATCAATGTTATTTTAAAAACTTGAATTTTGTCACTAGAAAATTAAGTCCGTAATTTATCACCTGCAGTTGAGCCTTTCAAGTCCGCATGAGATATAGAATTGGTTAATTCAGGTATACCAAAGCACCGCTGGAATTTCAATGTCATAATACGCAGTGAGGGATTACTAAAGCGTAACACAACAAATAATAAGTGGCGTAACTCAAAGTATTTGTGATTGTTTGCAATGAAACGCTTCGATGACTGTCTATAATTAAATTACGATAAAATTACCTTTCTTAATAAATCTGCTATACAAGACCATTTTCACCATTTTTTTTTCATTACATTTTAAGGTGAAAACTGGGCCGATAATTATAATAATTACAAGCAAAACGTGTCGTCTCGAAGTCTTTTATCCCCCCAATTTTGTAATAAATTACGCTGTTCAAAGGTTGAAGTAACTTGTCATAATGGTGATTTTCTGATTGTGATTGTTAAAATAGATTGACCATACGCCTAGTGACATGAAAATCTGAATGACTGCCCTATCTTTACCAAAGCTTGTGTTTCTTTGAATAATTGCAATTTAAGGTAATTATGAGAAAAATATGATTATTCTTTCAAGATGGTAATTTTCAATGATTTTAACAGGTTTTCTAAATGGAGAAAAACTCCTAAATCAATTTGACCTTATTTGTGTCACTTTTATAAATGGAAGTAACTAATTGGATATTTAATGTTCAAGTTTTTAAGAGAGACACAATAATTTTAGTATCTTACAAATGAATAAAACTTGAAACATGCATCAGTTACTTTATGGAAGAAAGAACTATCTGGTTATTGTGAAAGTCATATAATAAATTGTACTGTACTTACTCATCAGAAATGGCTCTGTTGGTCAAGTCCTCAAGGTCATTGGGGTCAAATAATTGAGTCTTATTCAGGCCAAAGTTCTTCTCACATGCAATTAGGAACACATTTATGTTGTCCTGAAAAAAAATGTAAATTCTACATATAAATCATAAATTATACCAATATAAAATAGAATAAAGGGATTCATTGGTAATGACTTCTCTAACTAATAATGTGCATAGCTTGTCATATATCCCTCTCAATATATAGACAGATACAGCTAACATTATTACGGCTTCCACAGATCACAGACAACATGTAAGCAGTTACATGTATATCTTACTGACAACATGTTGGCAACCATAGCTCACTATGTTGGCAACCATAGCTCACTAACAACATGAAGGTAGCCAGAGTTCACTGACAACATGTAAGTAGCTATAGCTCAATGACAACATAAAGGTAGCCAGAGCTTACTGACAACATAAAGGTAGCCAGAGCTCACTGACAACAAAAAGGTAGCCAGAGCTCCCTGACAACATAAAGGTAGCCAGAGCTAACTGACAACATAAAGGTAGCCTGAGCTTACTGACAACAGAAAGATAGCCATAGCTCTCTGAAAATATAATGATAGCCAGAGCTCACTGACAACATAAAGGTGGCCAGAGCTCACTGACAACAGAAAGGTAGCCAGAGGCAAACACTGACAACATAAAGGTGGCCAAAGCTCACTACAACAGAAAGGTAGCCAGAGCTCACTGACAAGAGAAAGGTAGCCATGAGCTCACTTGACAACATAAAGGTAGCCAGAGCTCACTGAGAACAGAAAGGTAGCCAGAGCTCACTGATAACATAAAGGTAGCCAGAGCTCACTGAAACATAAAGGTAGCCAGAGCTTACTGACAACATAAAGGTAGCCAGAACTCACTGACACCAGAAAGGTTGCCAGAGCTAACTGACCAACAGAAAAAGTAGCCAGAGCTTACTGACAACATAAAAAGGTAGCCAGAGCTCACTGACAACATAAAGGTAGCCATGAGCTCACTGACAAACATAAAGGTAGCCAGAGCTCACTGACAACATAAAGGTAGCCAGAGCTCACTGACAACAGAAAGGTAGCCAGAGCTCACTGACAACATAAAGGTAGCCAGAGCTCACTGACGAAGACAGAAAGGTAGCCTGAGCTCACTGATAACATAAAGGTAGCCAGAGCTCACTGACAACATAAAGGTAGCCAGAGCTCACTGACAACATAAAGGTAGCCAGAAGCTCACTGACAAACATAATTGTAGCCAGAGCTCACTGAGAACAGAAAGGTAGCCAGAGCTCACTGACAACATAAAGGTAGCCAGAGCTCACTGACAACATAAAGGTAGCCAGAGCTCACTGACACATTTTAAAGGTTTAGCCAGAGCTGCACTGACAACAGAAAGGTAGCCAGAGCTCACTTGACAACGATAAAAGGTAGCCAGAGCTCACTGACAACAGAAGGTAGCCAGAGCTCACTGACAAGAAGAAGGTAGCCAGAGCTCACTGACAACATAAAGGTAGCCAGAGCTCACTGAGAAACGAAAAGGTAGCCAGAGCTCACTGATAACATAAAGGTAGCCAGAGCTCACTGACAACATAAAGGTAGCCAGAGCTTAACTGACAACTAAAGGTAGCCAGAACTCACTGACACCAGAAAGGTAGCCAGAGCTAACTGACAAGAGAAAGGATAGCCAGAGCTCACTGACAACATAAAGGTAGCCAGAGCTCACTGAGAACAGAAAGGTAGCCAGAGCTCACTGATAACATAAAGGTAGCCAGAGCTCACTGAAACATAAAGGTAGCCAGAGCTTACTGACAACATAAAGGTAGCCAGAACTCACTGACACCAGAAAGGTAGCCAGAGCTAACTGACAACAGAAAGGTAGCCAGAGCTTACTGACAACATAAAGGTAGCCAGAGCTCACTGACAACATAAAGGTAGCCAGAGCTCACTGACAACATAAAGGGTAGCCAGAGCTCACTGACAAATACATAAAGGTAGCCAGAGCTCACACTGACAACAGAAAAGGTAGCCAGAGCTCACTGACAACATAAAGGTAGCCAGAGCTCACTGACAACAGAAAGGTAGCCTGAGCTCACTGATAACATAAAGGTAGCCAGAGCTTCACTGACAACGATAAAGGGTAGCCAGAGCTCACTGACAACATAAAGGTAGCCAGAGCTCACTGACAACAGAAAGTAGCCAGAGCTCACTGACAACATAAAGGTAGCCAGAGCTCACTGACAACAGAAAGGTAGCCAGAGCTCAACTGACAGCATAAAGGTAGCCAGAGCTCACTGACAACATAAAAGGTAGCCAGAGCTCACTGACAACAAAAAGGTAGCCAGAGCTCCCTGAACAACATAAAGGTAGCCAGAGCTAACTGACAACATAAAGGTAGCCTGAGCTTACTGACAACAGGAAGATAGCCATAGCTCCTCTGAAAATATAATGATAGCCAGAGCTCACTGACAACATAAAGGTGGCCAGAGCTCACTGACAACAGAAAGGTAGCCAGAGCACACTGACAACATAAAGGTGGCCAGAGCTCACTGACAACAGAAAGGTAGCCAGAGCTCACTGACAAGAGAAAGGTAGCCAGAGCTCACTGACAACATAAAGGTAGCCAGAGCTCACTGAGAACAGAAAGGTAGCCAGAGCTCACTGATAACATAAAGGTAGCCAGAGCTCACTGACAACATAAAGGTAGCCAGAGCTTACTGACAACATAAAGGTAGCCAGAACTCACTGACCACCCAGAAAGGTAGCCAGAGCTAACTGACAACAGAAAGGTAGCCAGAGCTTACTGACAACATAAAGGTAGCCAGAGCTCACTGACAACATAAAAGGTAGCCAGAGCTCACTGACAACATAAAGGTAGCCAGAGCTCACTGACAACATAAAGGTAGCCAAGAGCTCACTGACAACAGAAAAGGTAGCCAGAGCTCACTGACAACATAAAGGTAGCCAGAGCTCCACTGACAACAGAAAGTAGTAGCCTGAGCTCACTGATTAACATAAAGGTAGCCAGAGCTCACTGACAACATAAAGGTAGCCAGAGCTCACCTGACAACATAAAGGTAGCCAGAGCTCACTTGACAACATAATTGTAGCCAGAGCTCACTTGAGAACAGAAAGGTAGCCAGAGCTCACTGACAACATAAAGGTAGCCAGAGCTCACTGACAACATAAAGGTAGCCAGAGCTCACTGACAACATAAAGGTAGCCAGAAGCTCACTGACAACAGAAAGGTAGCCAGAGCTCACTGACAACATAAAGGTAGCCAGAGCTCACTGACAACAGAAAGGTAGCCAGAGCTCACTGACAAGAGAAAGGTAGCCAGGAGCTCACTGACAACATAAAGGTAGCCAGAGCTCACTGAGAACAGAAAGGTAGCCAGAGCTCACTGATAACATAAAGGTAGCCAGAGCTCACTGACAACATAAAGGTAGCCAGAGCTTACTGACAACATAAAGGTAGCCAGAACTCACTGACACCAGAAGGTAGCCAGAGCTAACTGACAACAGAAAGGTAGCCAGAGCTTACTGACAACATAAAGGTAGCCAGAGCTCACTGACAACATAAAGGTAGCCAGAGCTCACTGACAACATAAAGGTAGCCAGAGCTCCTGACAACATAAGGTAGCCAGAGCTCACTGACAACAGAAAGGTAGCCAGAGCTCACTGACAACATAAAGGTAGCCAGAGCTCACTGACAACAGAAAGGTAGCCTGAGCTCACTGGATAACATAAAGGTAGCCAGAGCTCACTGACAAATAAAGGTAGCCAGAGCGTGCTCACTGACAACATAAAGGTAGCCAGAGCTCACTGACAAACATAATTGTAGCCAGAGCTCACTGAGAACAGGAAAGGTAGCCAGAGCTCACTGACAACATATAAGGTAGCCAGAGCTCACTGACAACATAAAGGTAGCCAGAGCTCACTGACAACATAAAGGTAGCCAGAGCTCACTGACAACAGAAAGGTAGCCAGAGCTCACTGACAACATTAAAGGTAGCCAGAGCTCACTGACAACAGAAAAGGTAGCCAGAGCTCCACTGACAGCATAAAGGTAGCCAGAGCTCACTGACAACATAAAGGTAGCCAGAGCACACTGATAACATAAAGGTAGCCAGAGCTCACTGACACCAGAAAGGTAGCCAGAGCTCATTGACAATATGTAAGCAGCTATAGCTCGTTGACAGCTATTGCTCACTGACAACATGTTGATAGTCATAGCTCACTGATAATATAAAGGTGACAATTTAAAGGTAGAAATAGCTTCCTGAAAACATGCAGACAGCCATAGCTCAATGACAATATTAAACTAGCTATAGCTGTCTACATGGTATCAGTCATGGCTTATAGACAATATCAAACTTTGAAAATGTATAGACATCAGCAACTTAGTCAGTTTGGTTCCGTCCTACATCTTTTAGTTAACAAAACCTACATCAGGCTGCTCACCCATTGACATGGCATTTGCTTATGGGTAACATACTACATTCATATTTGACAAGTGATTATTAACTTCCCAAGTCTGATTTCAAGAAAAAAGAAAACTTTGTATTGACTGAAAAATAACTTTAACTGATATGTGGCAAGTTTATAAATTTTGAAACATCAAACTTCTTCTTTCTTTGAAGCAATCCTTTTTGGCAATTAAAGGAAATAATATCAAGTTTTTATTATGTGTCATACAGAAATGTACGTGAACAAGGTTTGATTGTCATTATCTGTTCATGCAACCATAATTAATCATATTTAGAATTCACTGCACATACTGTATATACTGTATTTTTGTTGTTATTTACCTGTAATGCATCACTGTATCAGTGCATCGACTTAACATATAACTTTTCATATTTCATAAAATGGTATCAGTAAAACCTGCTATAGGTAACAGGACCTCTGGCTGATTGTTATGATAAAGGCAGCTTTCATTTTGGTATGACCTTGAATAACACATGAAGGACTAGGCAAACAGTATTGAAGTAGAAAAGTGACAATATGTCCTTCAGAATAGTTTAATATAAAACTAAAATATAAACAATAATATAATTGTCAACCTGACTGTGGTCTTTTGGATCATCTTTGTCTATTATGA